CTGTGGCTCAAGTGGTAGAGCGCTCGCCTTGAGCTGAAGAGCTGAGGCATAGCGCTCAGGCCCAGAGTTCAGCCCCCATGACAAGAAAGAGAGAGAGAGAGAGGGAGGGAGGGAGGGAGGAACTAAAATACAAGCAAAGACATCTGTATTATATGAAATGAATAAGAGTCAATTATACAGAATGATGAAAAACAAATGTCTCCCAAGTAAAAATGGACAGAGCATATAAGTAGATAACCCCAAAGGAAAATAAAACAGTAAACAAAACAGATTATCCAGCTGGGCACCAGTGGTTCACACCTGCAATCCTAGCTACTCAGGAGACTGAGATCTGAGGATCATGGTTCAAAGTCAGCCTGGGCAGGAAAGTCCATGAGGCTCTTATCTCCAAATAATCACCAGAAGTGGCGGTTGTGGCTCAAGTGGTAGAGTGCTAGCCTTGAGCTGAAGAACTGAAGTACAGCGCCCAGGCCCAGAGGTCAGGCCCCATGAATGACCCAAACAAAAAACCCAGATCATTCTTCCAACTCATTTTTTCTGATTTATGTCTGTGTCGTCTGTAGTCCCTTTCTATGTAGCCCTCAATATACATTGATCAGGCTGCACATGTACATTCAGGGACAAGGTCTGCAGAACTATGCTCACAATGGTATTATCTGTGACATGGAAAGAAATAGTAAATACCCCAAGTCAGTTTAGTCTGACAGATACAGACTAGTCTAGGGCTGCCTACACTTGAACCCTTGCTTTGTCTTTAACTCCCTACTTACTTCCAGTAGGTTACTTGGCCTTTCTGTGACAAATTTTTTCCTCATCTGGAAGCTAGTGATGGTAATATGGCAGTGTGAAAACTAAATATACTAATGAACAAAAAACACTGAAAACAGGCAGTGCTAAGCATCAACTTTTACTATTACTGTTATTTAATAACAGAAGGCTTAATCAATTGTCAGATATAGAATACTGTAACTGTTAAGTAAGTATGATTGGAGAAAAGAAGCAAAGATGTGTATGTTATAGAAAAACATGCAAATGGAATATGTATACAAATGGAGAGTAAGATTAGAGTAACAGCGGGAATAAAACGTTAAAAATAAAATTAGGGGCTGGGAAGGTGGCTCAGTGGTAGAGTGCTTGCCTAGCATGCATGAAGCCCTGGGTTGATTCCTCAGTTCCACATACACAGAAAAGGCTGGAAGTGGCACTGTGGCTCAAGTGGTAGAGTAGCTATCCTGGAGCAGAAAGAAGCTCAGGGACAGTGCCAGGCCTTGAGTTCAAGCCGCAGGACTGGCCAAAAAAATAAAAATAAATTAATGCAATTGGTCATATTAGTGTAATAGTAAGATAGTGGGCACGTGTGGCTTTTTAAATTTTAATATATCCATCTACTCTATCACTTCCCCCCTTTAGAAATGTAAAAGTGCTTTCAGGGGAACAGACCATGTAGTGTCTGCTATCTAACATCTCTCTTTTACTGCTAACAAACCTGTGTGGTTTAAAGGTAGCTGCCTCAGAAGTTTCCTGAGAAAGAGCAGAGCCTTTCCTGGCCACTGGACAGCATGATCAAGTAAGCCAGAAACCATGACTACCTTCCCTGTGCAGAAGACTCAGGAGGCTGAGGGGAACTGAACATCTGTCAGCCAAAATCATTCGGGAAAAGGTTTTTTCTAATAGTACATTATGCTCAGAAAGAAATCTCCTTTTCATCACCAGGTTTTATTATGGGCCTGGAGCACCCCCACCTTGTAGCCATGAGAGGATCTTCAACCATTTTCACACTAAGGATGGCCACAGAAAAAGGGGGGAAAAGCCAACACGAGGTAGTAAAGCTGCTGCACTGTTTTTTTTGGGGGGGTTGGGTCAGTCACGGGGCTTGGGCGCTGTCCCTGTGCTCTTCAGTCCAAGGCGAGCGCTCTACAGCTTGAGCCACAGCGCCACTTCCGGTTTTCTAGTGGTTTATTGGAGATCAGAGTCTCATGGATTTTCCTGCCCAGGTTGGCTTTGAACTGTGATCCTCAAATCTCAGCCTCCTGAGCAGCTAGGATTATAGGCGTGAGCCACTGGCGCCTGGCATCTGCTGCACTGTTTAATCGTTGGATCTTTCTACTTTCCCCCAACTTCTTGTTATGGGAAAAAATACACTTACTGGGGCTTAAGCCACTTTAGCTGGAGTTTACCCTAATTGCAGCTGAAAGCATCCTAGCATATTCATCATGTCTGTGAAGTTCAAGCTCCTGAGCTTACACAGCATACAAGACCAAAAGAAAGAGACCTCGGCATTCAAAGGTCTTAGCCTTCTTTACTCTGCACCTCTGGATGCACTCTACTCTCTAGCCATTAACATAGTGAGCTCCTACATACATCAGTAATCTTCCTTCTGGATGCTCTCTTGGTTGAAAACCAATTCCACTCCCACTAGATCAAATACAACGGCTACACAGACTTGCAGATTTCTTTAGGCTAGTCTTGCAGAGCAGCCCCTCTCACACACAAGTTATCTGAACTTCCTTGCCTAGCAAACTTGCTCCGACACACTCTTTT